TGTGTCTTTGCGTGCATTTAACTAATAGTTTCTTTATATTTTCACAGTTCGGTTGGTATACACGTCGCATTGGTCTAGCGACAATATTAAAAATGACGGAACTATTTATGCTGCAGGACAGCTCGATAGATCATGCCAAAACATGGGAGTTCCTAAAGAATCGCATGGATGAAGCAGTACAAATACAAATGATGCTGTCACAAACTGAGGGAATGACACAAAATTTTACGCGTTCCTTTAACTCGGCATTTGTAACTGTGAGTAGTAATAGCAAACATTGGATCTATGTATTTACATATGTACTTATGATATCAATTCTCTGTACCACCAGGCACGCAACATATTGGGCATTGATTATACGCGTAGGTAAAGCGCACGCTCGAGTCACCAAATCCAAAACACCGCCAAGCTGAGAAAATTTCAAATATTCAATGTAGGCATAGCACATGGAAATAGCCATATAATTTAGTATTCGTTAAACGGTCTGTCTTTTTCATGCTTTCTATATTTTGTTATAGAATCATAGATCAGTGATAAACTGTTTTCTCTTCTATGCGAAACCGATTTTCTTCAAATGTTTAGCGCTTAAGTATTAAGTTTAGTTATGACAATATTTAGTTATACGTTAATAAGCTGGTACCAAATTATTGAGAGGTACTGCATCTTTTTTTTTTAGCTATTTATGTGATTTGTATGATTGTTTTGGTGTTTGCCTTGATAATGAACTCGCTCTCACGTTGACGTGTGTTTGTCCAACGACATTGCATCAATAGAAATATTTGTACATACATACCGCTCACCGCTCATGCCAAAACAAGGCGAACAGTTACCCACCTAACAATTTTGTAAATTAAATGCACTTGAAGCTAAGCAGCACAGCACATTGTTTATTACTTACCTATACCTATAGAGATGTGTACCTACCTAGACATATAGATGGAAAAAAATTAGGGGAAGATGATTGCAACTTAAAGAGACTATAAATGAACTAAAGTGCTTAAAGTGAAATTATGATAATGAATGTAAAAGTGTGAAAATACTTAGGTACATATGTATGTAGTTAGCTCTTGATATTGATGACGAACGGAATTTTACAAAGAATAAATGAAAAATTAAGACAAAGGATGAATGTTTTTTTTTTGTCTTGTATGTAACAGCAGGAATGCTGCTGGAGTGATGGTGGATATCGGTGCTGACGCCGCCGCACATACATATAGTACATATGAAACATATATGTAGCTGAAAAGAGGCCTGAAAGCCTCAAACGCTTGTTGTGAAGTTCTACTCTAAGGCTAATGGCGTTGGTATAATAGCGAAAGGTGCTTTAAACATTATCTTACATAATAAATGAGTGTCACAGTCCTAGATAGCATATAAAATTGAATCCTAGAAATGTTATGGATTACGACAAAAGAGGACAAAACGCAAAAGGACCCTGCCATCTCTTACTTACGAAAATCTTCATTAAAATGCTTGGTGATATGTTCGTTGCATTGAGTACACTGAAAACCCGAAACGTCAACGATATATGTATGTATGAACATTTGTAATCTCCAATTGCACTCAAACTTTGCAACAAATTCTAGTTTCCGGTAACAGACGAAGAGATCGGGTTGCTTCGTGAGGATCGCGATACTTTGTAGCAGGTTAAACTTTTCTGTCCAATTTGAATTAGATGCCCGTCTGAAAGTATTCGAAAAAAACGGGTTTAAAAACCGAGTCAATCATTCCAATATATAGACACGGTGCTCAAACTCGGAAAGTATTCGAAGCGGTATCCGTTTGTGGTAGTAAATAGAGGAAGAAGAACAGAAGTTGTTGTTGTTGTAGCAACAGTGCTAAATCCCCGGGGTTTCGTCCCGGGTCGTCTTCCTCCTCTGACTTTACAAGCCAGAGGCCGAGAAAGCGTCGGGGCGTGGTCCATAGAAGTTCTGGTGTCAGGGTTAGAGGTGCATGCGATGTGGTGTTGGGTGGACCCTGCCTGCATGCTGGGTATGTGTCTGTCACTTCTGGGTTCAGCCGGGAAAGATAGCTGTTAAGTCTGTGGCACCACCCTAGACGGAGTTGCGCTAGGGTGCACCTGGTTTCTCTCGAAAGTTCCGCTTCGCCGCCGTTAATGGGCAGCGGTCGGCCACCTAGGGTGTATTTTCGGGTGCTGAGACTCGTCCTGACTGCACCGGTGTGTAGCTTGTTAAGCGTCGCTCTGTAATTTTCCGCGTCGAAAGGGTGGTCTATGCACGGCTCAATGTCGGGTTCCCAGTCGAGCAGGCGGATTGTTTCGAAGCAGGGCGTTATTGGGGAGGTTTCAATGATGGCTTCCCACGAGGAACTGCTTCGATAGAAGGATGTTATGCTATTTCACCGCCAGAATCGGGCTCCAGTTCCAGCCTGACCTCTTTAGTTCAGGTGGTGGACAGTGTGGGGGTGGATTTCGCAGGGTAGATGGTGAGGCTCCTGAAAAAATTTGAGAGATCGGTGAGATAGTCAGTGTTTTTTTCCGCAAAGGCTGTCGATGTTGCCATAGTCGTGCAATCATCGGCGTAGCTCACCAAGTTAACTACAGCTGACGGAGGAGGCTGTTTTGCCATGCAGAGCCTAAATAGAGCCTGGGGGAGAGTACGCCGCCTTGGGGACCGCTTGTTTAATTTCACGCGGAATGGACTTGGCGTTTCGGAAATCGACCGATAATAGTCATCCACACAGATAACTGGTTATCCGCCGTTTCGCACGATTTAACGTGTCGAATGCCTTCAACGGGTCAACCGCGACTAGGACCGTCCTATTACAGGATGGCGTTTAGTCCTGCTTTCATTCTTGGCATTTTGCGGAATCCATTTTGGTGTTCAGATACTACGTCAGGCTGGAGAGGAGTAGTGCTTCCATTGTCTTTGCCACTGGGGATAGGAGGGAGATTGGCCGGTAAGAGTATCCTGCGTCCGCCTTCTTCACTGGCGGAGGGGATGATCCTACCCAATTTCCACATCTCGGGGATGATTAATGTGGACAGTGACAAGTTCAAAGCTTTCGTGATGTACTCGAATCACGCAGGTCCTAGATTTTTCAGCATCCAACGCCTTGGATGTTTTGGCGTTCTTGACAGCTGCGCGGATCCGATGGTATTGTCAAGTGAAAGAGCAACGTTGTCCTTGCGTTTCGTCGGATGAGAGTGATTTTACAGTCATCCACAGTTTTCTAGCTCAGGTGGAGAGATTGCAAGATTTTAGGTGCTTGTTCCACGTTTTCCGCTTATGTTCGTTTACCAGTTTACTAATGCCCTTGTTGAAACCCCTGATACGGGGATCACCAGGATTATAGTGGCGGATTCGATCACGCACCTCTGCGAATCCCACCACTCCTGCAGGGAAGACCGGACATATTTTAGCAATCCTACCGGCTGGTATGAAGCGGGCAGCTGCTGCGGCGATTATCCTGTGAATATTACGCTCAGCTACGCGCGTGCATGTTGGTGATGTTAGAGCTTTTAATTTGCGGTCTATGTGTTCCGTTAAACCATGAATAAAATCTCTAGGGTGGTCAATCGCGCCTTTTATGGGCAGGTGGTGTGATGCGAATGTGACCACTGGGTGCTACCCAATGCAATTTATCAGATCCCCGCTGGCTATAGTGATGTCTGGCGAGCTGTAGCAGTCACCCGCAATATGTAAAACGTTGAATCGTCAATTTGTTCAGCGAGCAGTGTACCAAGCTGGCCGTTGTGCGGGTTGGAGTGTCGGAGTTCGCGTTAAAATCACCTAGCACTACCCCTTCACCGCCTCCGAGTAGCGCACTTATGTTCGGGTGGTATCCAACCTGACAACTGGTATAAGTTAGTATGTATACGTTGACGACTCGAAGCTCAGAAACTCACCACTTGATTGCTTAACCGTGACACTCAATGAGTGTATCGTTAGCAACAATTCGGGAGGTAATGAGACGGTATATAATAACGGCAATATAAAGGCGATGTCGCCGCCCGAAAGCGATCTCTTCGTATACTGTTGAACTCGTCCTGAAGGCTTGAGCCGTAGTGGAGTTTGGTTTCCTGTATCGCTGCGCCGGAGATTTTGTTGTGTCTCATAAAACTGACTATATCAGCGATCTTACTTTGAAGTCCGTTGCAATTCAACTGCAATAGTTTTATTGAGCTGGGTGTGGTGAGACTTATGCGTGGGGTGAGGATGCACTGGCATGCTGCCTGAGCTGCTTGCTGTGCTGGCTGCGGCTGGCTGGTTTCAGCTGGCGTTGACGCCGGCACAGGCGTTGGGAGTTGCGGTGTAGCGCAGCAGCAGGCTGCAGTAAAAGCAGTACTCCACTCGTGATGGTGCATGAGCAGCGCTTTAAAGCTCAAACAGTCAACGACGTAGCGTAGACGTAGGTTGACGTAGACACGATCGACCTTGTGGGATTCGCGTGTTAACGAAAACTCACCACCGCATGGCGGTGACGTTGCCGTTGCTTCTCTCTCTCTCTTTCAACAGTAAATTTGATATGCTGCTACGTACGTCAACCTACGTTTACGCTACGTCGTTGACTAACTGAGCTTTGAGGTGGTACCAATTGTTGCACGCGTTGTACCTTACTGGAGTGGCATTACGTTTTGCAAGGTTAGTGTATGACGGCACTAAAGAAGAAGAAAATTCACACATGCTTCAAATTATATGCAACTTTTAATGTTCAACCACATTTTATTTTACTTAAAAAAATTAAAACAAACATTTCAAGAATTGCGCATACATAAATACGTATGATTCTATTTTGTATATTAGTAAAAGTGCATTAATATATTGCATTTATTTTTTTAAATTTTTATGATCTGTTCACAATTGCTGGTGTAGTATCTTTATTATAAACAGACAAATATTTTATTAAAAGGCAAATATCTTTTCAAATAATATTTTGCCCGCAATTTTTGTTTCAATAAAATTAAGCACGTATACATATATTAGCGTATCTACTTATAAATTTTTTAAGTTAAATTTTAAAATTCACAGTCAAAATGCATTCCAGAAGGTATTAAGTTTTTTCTCTATTTACTCTATTGTCTTGTTTTTAATTTTTTGCTTTTTGATAATTGCAAATAATGAGCTTGTAAAAATTTCTCCCATATACATATATATACATACACATATACATATATACACATACATATACATACTTATTGCATATATTATCTAATGTAAATTTATTTTATAAACATTATTATTATCAAATTTTAATTGAGCTTGTTGAATCATTTCTTACGCCGAATCTTACGATGCATTTTTATATATTTAGATGCATTTTAACCTTTATTACTTTCATTTACTAATCTCCATTTTTTATTCTATTCATTTTGTTGCTCCTCCATATGTGCTGCAAATCTCCAGTTTCGATTTTTGTTGCCTTGCTACAGTACATTTTAGACACAAAAAATTAAAATATTCGCGAAACTATGAGCAAAATATAGTAAAACTTTTCTAAAGGACTTTGAAATTTCAAAAATATGATTGATTCAAAAAAATTATTTAAAGAATTCAGTGCAATCTGGAACAACAAATAAAAGAGAAAATTTTGTAAAATTAAAAAATATTAATTTTTTAAAAATTTTTTTTATATATAGTGATTAAAAACGTTCAAAATTACTCTCCAAGCCATCAAACCAACCGGTGAAGCAATTCGCTAACGCCCTCAATTACGTTTTTTCAAGACGTAAGTGTTCCACCTGTGGAAGAAGATTCTTTTCATATGTATTCCGTATTAAACTTCCTTTCGAAAATAGTATTGATCGTTTATTTCGATTCAGAATTGTTTTGTCGAATTTGCACTAGGGTGTGTCGATAAAAAAAATTCAAAAAAGGCATAATGACTATTATTTTCAACGTGAAGATTCGAGATTATTTAATGCCGATATTTGTCATAAACAATTTTGCTATTTAAATATTTAAAGCTCAGACCAATCAGGCTCTCCACTTCTCCTGTGGAACATCCTTGAGAGCCTGATCGACCTGTTTACATATAATAAACAGGATTCCGCGAGAACAATTGAGCCTCCCTCAGCATGCCTACTTGAAGGCTAGATCTCCCGAATGCTCCATGAAACGCTTCTATCCAACAGCAAGTGCACCCCGTAGCGAGGGGTTCTTTCGCACTTTCTCTGGATCGTCGTAGTAAACGACGTTCTGAAGGAATTGGCAAGGAGAGGGTGTTGGGTTATTACCTACGCGGGCAACGTGGAACCCCTCGTCAGAGGAAATTTCTTGCAGGGTTACCTAAACATTAATGTGAATTGGTCTGAATCCATCTGCAGACCTAGAAAGACGGAGATCGTACTATTTACCGGGAGATATAAATAGTCCTTCGACAGGAAGCGTTTCACTTGTGCTTTCTGACTATAGTGAAGCCAAATGTTGAGGAATCAGTAAAAAGGGCATCAGTCTCTCTTAAATGCTGTAAATGCCACGAGGAAGAGATGAGACCTTTCTCCAAAAGTGATATATTGGCTATATGAAATCATAATTAATCTAATTATGTAATATGGGTTAATTGTCTGGTGGAATTCAAAAGAAAAGTATACTCTTGTAAATAAACCAGTGCGCATGCAAAGGGCGATCCTTGCTGGAATCATCGGAGCGCTCTGGACTACACCTATTCTAGCGCATAACGTTATGCTTAGTGTCACAGCCGTTTGATATTGCGGGTAACGTTGTCGCAGTTCGCTCCGCCATCAGGCTAAAAAAGCTTTGGTTTCTCCTTCAACCCGGCATACAAGCTCACGGCAATTCTTAAAAACTTCAACTTCTTACCGGATGAAATGAATCGGAGCTTTTCGAAGCTAACCCCGAATGGATCCTCCTCACCACACACTTCCCTCTAAATAGCAAATGGGAGCATGACAGTCTCTGGAGTAGAGGCCCAATAAATATATCCCTTCACGGATAAATCGAAGCTGGTTGGCAGAGCTGGAGGAGTAAATCTCAGCAAACGTCATATTCGGACTGCCAGATTTTTGCAGCGTTTTTCGAGCACAGGTGGTTGCTTTAAAAGAGGTACTGTGTTGCCAATGAGAAAAGTAAATATATATTCTGTTGGCCAAGGAGCAAACAGGGCGCTAGGATTGCTCATGCTGCGATGGAAATTGATCGGGGATTTCCTGACCTCTATCCCTCAATCGCCTAGAGTATTTCCAAATCGCCGGAAATTGCAGCGCTGATAAATTGGCTGGGCAGGGTATCATCAAACTGGACAAGGAAGCCATAGGAGTTTCTTAGAAAACTTGCGGACTAGCCCTGAAAAGATGGACCAAAAGACAGCGTACCGAAAATATCTCGATATGCAAAGTTGTAAGGTCTTTATAGTCGGTTGTTGACCGCATGATGTCAAAGGACCTTATGTAGCTGGCTAAGCATCAGCTTTCGATTCTTACAGATGTACGGACGGGAAACTGTCCTTAAGGAGCCCATGCGGTGTGTGACTTCGAGAACGAGGTGGAAATCATCTCAGCACTTTCTTCTCAGTTGCCCGGCGATACTAAGGTTTAAACCACTCTACGCGTCTTTCATCCAGTGGGCCCTTCTTGAGGCTTCCACCATAATCTAACCTAACCTAATCCCAATGGAAATTCGGTATGAGAGATCAACGCACAAAGTAGGTGAGGGATTTGTGGTTAGACGGAGGCTTCGACACCTCTTCAGGGGAAAGACGACAATGTGCCGAAGGAGCACTTAGGAGAAGCGTATGAGCACGTGAGATGTTAATAAAAGGTAGAAAGGTATAGCCGAAGACAGTGCGGTCCTGATTTGTCTTTATATATTTCTATTTCTAAAATTTCTCTTGTTTATCAGAATATCTGAACTTTTTTTTGCTTATTTGATTTTATTTCATATCAGATTTCTATTTCTAGACATTCTTAAAAATAAAAGTCCTTAACAGGTTAGCCGTCCAGATTTTGTGGTTGCCAGATCATAGAGGGATACAAGGTAATTGCATAGCAGATGAACTTGCGAGGAAGGAAACCTCTCTGTGTGAAGTTAATTGATCTCACTATGAGGACATGCAAATAAAAAATGGTCGACAGAACCCACTTGTAGGACGACAAAACTGTCCCAACTTCGACAGAAAAACGGCCGACTCACTCATCTATCTACATAGAACGTAACCTACTTAGGCTGATGGCGGATATGCTGGCAGATTGGGCCAGTGGGCCAATGACTTCTACCGCAACTGCCGTGATAAGGAAGAAATTCAAATCAATCTCTGTCACTACCCTGTCCTACGAAAGATAAGGAGTGGAATATTGTTATTGTATATTTCTATGTAGTCCCAACAGAATTACTATGTACTTCGGTTATGTGGTTTGAAGATGGCAAGAAAGAAATTATGACATATCCAAATGCCCGAGATTTTATTATTTTCCTTCGATTTTTTTTAACAATTCATATAAATCAAAAGAATGAGGTAAATGAATTAAAGTAATTTGTTGTTTATTTTAGCGGCATAACGAAAACGTTTGGCTTCAAAATGGATTTCATTACTATGCTAAATAGACTTAAATCTGTTTTTTTTTTTTTTTTAATTCAATATAAAAGCGTGCGAGTTTGTTTTTAGGTAAAGGCCCGTATGCAGTTCTCAAGAAAAATAGAAACTTTGCGGTTGCTGTAAATTTTCTTGAAGAAATAAAAATATACGAGCATTTTTTCTTAAGAGCTGCATACTGATTTAAGAAATTTTGTTAGAGAAAATTGCGTCATTTGATATGCATTTTTAGTTTTTCTTGAGAGTTGCAGACAGGCCTTAATAGTGAAAATAATATTCCATACATTGACAATCTAAAGTGTACAGTTTTGAAATCTATAACTGTATGTTTGTATGTGTAACAGAACTTTTTTTTGCAGTCTTCTGCCTTTTCAGCGCTCTATATTTTCTAAAAAAAAATTTTGTTTTGGTATATTTTTTGAATAGTAATTTTCATTTGGCCTATTCATCGACCACATAGCGTTCTAAAATCTCTTTTGTTATACAATTGCAATTTTTATCCCTTTGAGAGCCTCAAACTAACATTACTCTCAATTCTTTTTATTGCTGCAGTGGCTTTATTACAATTGTTTTCGCTTAACTGATATGCACTTCAATTCCTTATTTATGTATGCTTTGTTTGAATGTTTTATGCATGAATAGCAGTTGATGCTCGATTGCAATTCACTGAATGCTCTTTATGGTGGTCCAAAAATGCATGTGAAAAAGTAAAGTCGGAATTTTTATGCCCTCACCACCTAGAATAAACCTAGGAGGACCGAAATAAAATGTGCCCATATTTTTTGCTTTTGAAATAAAAAAAATATATATATATTTAGAGGTCGCTCAAATCGCTCAAAGCTTTTCATGTATTTTATATAAAAAAAAACTTTTCTTAAAAATCAATGACAGAAAACTCTGTTTCTCTTCATGAGATACCCAATAATAATACCCAATTATTTATTTAAACATTTTTTCATAGTAACTATATTTTATAGGTCCGCCAAAACTGCCAGTAAATATAATGGGGGGTTAAATAAAACATCTTTAGTATTCAAAAATGGTTAAATAAATAATTGTATAATGTTGTTTGAAGTCTTGTGAAGAGAACCAGAGTTTTTTGATTGAATAATATTGATTTTCCAGAATTCTATACCATTTCTACAAAAAGTGGGTTTTTCCATATAAAATACATGGAAAACTTTGAGCGCTTTGAGCGACCTCTAAATATTTTTTTATTTCAAAATATAAACATAGGGGTATATTTTTCGATTGAAATTCCGACTTTACTTATTTTGGACCACCCTAGCGCTCTTCCTATGACCACCATTATCTTTGATGGAAATTTGAATGTTTGTGTTTTTTGTTTGGCATTTCAGGTGCTTTCTCCTGCATTTTGTTTTTTCCTCTTTCACCTTTTCGTTTTTTTTTCTCTGTAAGTCATTTTATTTACTTCAACTACAAAGGTTTCAAATAAGAGTCATCCATATTTGATGCATCCATCATAACTTCGTCATCAGCAAGTGGCGTTTGTGGTAGTTCTTGGAATTGTTGCCTTTGTTGTTGGATTTGAATGTGTTGCTCCTGAAGCGGTCGCTTTTGGTGTTGACACTGTTCAATGCTAATGGGGAATAAAAGAAAAAAATATGTTTGACTACAAATAGACATAAATACATATATATGTACAATGTGAGAATATACGCTTGAAAACTTTGAAATATTATCTTACATATACATATCGTCGCTTGCCGTGCATACGCTTGCAAATAAACTTATTTTCTTCTAAACTTTTGAATGAATTTCTAACTGAACTTATTAAATATTATTATTAATGACTAGCAGACCCGGCGAACTTCGTCTCGCCCAAAATAAATTTTTGTTTATTGAAACTTTTTGGTCCAACATTTTCACCACCAATTCACGTCTACGATTTTCATCTGCTAAGTTTATGGTTTGGTGATCATTAGTCGCTTTCAATAACCAAACGAAAATGTTCTGTCCGTGAAGAAGTTCTTGAAATTCTCCAAATATGCAGCATTTCATAGCACAGTTAATCACAAAACGAAATAAATTTGAAGAACTTTTTCCTCTTCACTCTCTGGCGGCAACAATGATCCGGTTCTATAGTGAATCTGTCCTAGAAGCTTTATAGTACATGTAGTTGGTGGCAATTTCAAAATGGGTGCTTATCATTGTTCTACAGAAATGCAATATACATTTAGTTATTTCAGACAAAATACCTGAAAAGCTTAAACGTATAATAAAATTGGAAAATCCATTGGGCCTATCGTAACGCAGGAGAGCTCGATATACTCAATGGTGTAACAAACAGGTCGATTTAATCTGACAGTAATAACTCGACTCCAGCACCACCTGGCAACACTTTTTTGCAATAGTATTGCTCTTACCGTAAATAAGATTTTTAGTAATAACTCAACTACAATGCCAACTCGCGGCTTAAGTTTTGAAACTAAACCATCCAGAGACTCACTCAAATACACACAAAAAATTTCGTTAACATCTCTCCAGCCATTTAGGATTTCACTTATAAACAAACCTCCAGAAGAATTATAAATACTTTCAAAGATAGCTAAAAGTCCTATGGGCCAATTACAGTAAAACTGCGTCCTTAGCTTTTCTCTCTCATGTCAGGATGATTTTAAAACACATAATTTTGAGTTTAAAAGATATGATTAATTCCAAAAATTATTTAAAAAATTCAGTGCAATGTAGAATAACAATATGGGTATCAAATTACTTTACTCAGGAGTAAGGTTGCCAGATTTTTGCTCAAAATTCAGTACTTTCGACTTTTTCAGCGCTAAAAAATCAGTTCATTTTCAGCAAATCGGTCGGTGGTCCAATATTCTAGAGCTCTTCCTCTTACATAATTTCCATATCGCATTCGTGTCTTATTTCGGCTGTCGCACAGTGTTATTAACAATCGTGGAAATATGGGACTATATGTAGTTGAAGATTAAAATTAACAAAAAAAAAATACTTTTTACATAATAGGCTTCACAATTTCCAAGTACTACACTTA